AAAAAACAAAAGAAGATCACTGAAGCTGAACTTTTTCTTTTGTCTTTTAATGTATTCCTTTCTCACTAAATTAATAATGTTCTATTCTTGTATGACAACCTTCTTGCAAGTAGGTGTATATCTGTTATAGAACATCGATTCTTCTATCTTTATTTCCCATAGTGTTACTTTAGCAACCACATTATTTTTTTCTGAGTCACTCGTTTATTCAAATTCCAATRGGAATTTCCCTTATTTATGTACACAGACAGTCCCTTGCTCTGAGAAAAAAAGAAATTATATAACTATTTATGATCCACGCCACACATTATACAGTGAAACTACTCCAACCAAGGCCACCCAAACAAATTTTCTACAAATTAGCCAATCAAAAGTGGGAATCTRAACAATAGAATTGYTAAAATCGGACAAATATCCGTGGGTTTACACGGCTGAGAAGAATGCCAGCACCTTTGTTGTCGAATATAAACGTGCTGTCGCATAGTAACACGGTGATAAAACAGGTGTCAACCTGATAATATCGTTGTCTAGAAGAAGCAAACTGTAATCATAAAGACTCGGTGTTTTATACGATTTCTAATTTGCTTTCCTGTCGTATTTGAAGTCATACTTAACTATTTTTCTTTATCTTTGATGACACAAATCACTAATTTGCGAAGAAAATATATTAAAAGCTCTCGTTCATCATTTAGTTTTACCAACCGAAACAACAGAAGAATATTCAATTCAAAATTTGCTGCACTATTCTTCGTTTGCAATAGACGTCATAGCCRCCATGTTGGAAGMATTTGACAAAAGATTTTTCAATGAATTTTATCGAATAACAAATTCTCCCGCTTTGTGATTTTTATATAAAATTTAATTCAGTAATGGATTACTGTTTTCGTAAAAAAAATCAGTCTACGGTCTTTTTTCATCCCCGTCATTTCGTGTGAAGGAGGGTTGATACCTTTTATGAGATAAAAATTAACAAAGGGAATTTTTGAGCGTTGTGTTACATAAAAAATTCCCCTTCATTCTAAAAATTCCCCTTGATTCTGTGAATTCCCCTGGATTCTGGGAATTCCCCTTCATTCTGCAAATTCCCCTTCATTCTGGGAATTTAAAAGTTTTAACAAGACCCTGGTGGTAGAGTAGACGGGGTTACCTGGAAGACTAGTCACTGAGTGGGCTAAAGATCCTAAAGGCAAAAAAATGTGAAAATAAGTTGCTTGATGACAAAGTGACTAATATACAGTGAAAATCATTTCAAGCATAAAATTTATGAGAAAATCCAAATCATATGAAATATCCAAATTCCAAATATAGCTATAAAGTAGCAAATATGGTGGAAGATGTGTCGACAAGCACGTTTTCCGAAAGAGATTACATTCTTGCTTAGTTCAGCTATTAAGTCGCTAAATCTTAAAGCTTCATTTAAACGGTAAGACATGCTTATGTTTGCGCAGGATTTATCTCAGAATTGCTTGACTCTTCATAGTCCCCTTGGGTAATCTATGTTTTAAAATCAATGTCCATTTCCACTGAAAAGAAAATTTTCGCAGAAAATACAAGATCGATCTTAAGCGAAGGTCAAAATGAATGCGTTTTATGAGTTCATTTTATCATTTTATTTTAGCGGAGCTCCCGCGTCCCGCACCATAGGTATATAAATGTGGTAAACTATCCAACTCAGTTTTCGTGGTCATCGCTAGGGAACCCTGTGCGTAACCTAAGATATATTTAGGCATCGCCTAAAAGCGGAGCTCACGATACGCAAGTCACAGGAGCCCAATTTCAATGAATCTGAAAGGTAAAAATAAGATCGGAAAAAAATCGTCAATTTTTTAAATTAGAAATGAAGATAATGTCTCCCATAATAAAAACCATGCATCGAAATCGAATGGAAATGCACTACATTGTTTGCGCAAGTATACTCTCCCACTTAGGAATTCTGTGCACAACTCACCACCAGCCACCCCAGGGGCTAGTTTTGTTCTTGGAAGATTCTTCGACAAAGTTTTCCTTGGCCACATTTTTAAGCTTTGAATTCCTCGTTAACTTTACTTACAAAACGAAATATAACTACAGATAATCCAAAACAATATCAGGTTTAGTGAAATTTACCTTGGATGTCTTTCATCGAAATCTAAATTTTGGAGATTTCCGAATTTTTAAAGGACATGTCAAGACTATAAGCGTGTGATTTGAAAGCTCCGCTAAAAGTGTCGCCCGCCAGGTGTACCTCGTGTTTCTGATTGGTCGAGCTTTCAAATCACACGTCACTTGGACCATGACCACTTTGCTTAACGAGCTTTTTAACTATCATTGTTTTTTGTAAAATTTGCAAAAAATTGTAAAAACCAAACAAAACATTATAGAAGAAATCATGGAAGAAAAGAATTCGCCACAGTGTAAAGATAGAGGTTATGACATTTTCTATTTTGTTTTATTTGTAGATAACATAGCTACAAAAAACGAGCAACAAACTGGCATGACGAACGAGCGAAAAAAGTAGTATAGGGGATGGGGGTTCCAGCGCAACGACCACCGGAGGATTAC